AAATGATAAATACCATGTGAACATAGGTAAAAGGAACCATTGGCCTAATTGAGGGTAGAGATCATATATACATTTGTTGGATTATGATACGGGAAGTGAAAGAAGCTTTGAAAATGATAAAGATAAGAAAGACTTTAGGACTAAATGGTATCTCGATAGAGGTTTGGAAGTGCATGAGAGACATCGGCATTGATTGGCTTACCAAGTTGTTTAACAAAGTGTTGAGAAAAAAAAAATTTGTTAGATGAGTAGAGAAAAACTATTGTAGTAGCACTCACAAGATATGGAGGGATCAAACTTATGAGCAACACTATGAAGTTGTGGAAGAGAGTGACTGAGCAATGACTAATGCATGAAACAAGTATATCAGAAAACCAATTCAATTTTATGTTAGGGAAGTCAACAATTGAGGCTATTTTCCTATTTAGGCAACTGATTGAGAAGTTTTAGACGAAAGAAAAAGATTAAGAGAAAGCTTATGATAGAATACCTCAAGATTTAATTTGGAGGATGTAGAAAACAAAAGGAGTCTCTAGATACTATATTAACTTGGGAAGAGATATGTATAAGAGAATACCAACTAGTGTGCAATCAACTAGTTGAGAGATGAATGAGTTTACACTAATAATAGACCTATATCAGGGGTCAACATTCAGTCCATATGTCTTTGTCTTAGTTACGGACAACTTAATTAGGCACCTACGAGATAAGGTACCGGTGGTGTATGTTGTTCGCATATGACAGTTTTGATAGACAAGACCCAAAGCGGCATCAACATAAAGTTAGATCTTTTGATGGATGCTCTAGAATCTAAAATTAGAATGATAAAGACAAAGTATATAGAATACAAGTTTCGTAATAATAGGAGTAGAGATGATGAAGTAGTTAAGACTGATAGCCAAGAAATACAAAAAAATAACACACTTTTAATATATTGGATTTATAATCCAGGAAAATTAAGATATTGATAAAGATGTTGTATATAGAATTAGAGTTGGGTAGGCGAAGTGGAGATGTGTAACCAGAGTTTTATGTGATTGTTTCATACTAATGAAGCTGAAGGGGATATTCTCTAAGACAATTGTGAGACCAGCGTTGCTTTATGAGGTATGTTGAGCTGTCAAGAAACAATATACCTATAGGATGAGTGTAGCTGAGATGGAGATGTTGAGATGTATGAGTGGCAAGATTGAAATTCAAAATGAATATATTTGGGAGAACGTAAGTGTGGCTCTAATAGATGATAAGATAAGAGGAAATAGACTTAGGTGGGCTAGGCGTGTGTAGTGCAGACCCAGTACAATAACTATTGGAGATACAAGTTGGATCAAGTAGATTGTTCAAAAGAGCAAGGGGTAGATCCAAAAAGACATAGTTGGAAGCAATGAGAAATATATGGGAAAGTATGACCTCGTTGAGGGTATGACCTTTGATAGAGTAGTTTGATGGACTAGGATTTATGTAGCCAACTCTGAATAGTTGGGAAAAGGCTCTGATGATAATAATGAAGTATGTTTAGACTCCCTTGTGTTAAGGGCTAAACAATTAGGATTTCCTAATTACAGGAATATGTATGACATTTCTAAAATGTTCCTATGGTGCGTGGAGTATGGGACGGAGGTATAGTAGGATGTACTATGCTAGTACGTTCTTGAGTACAATTTAAGCTAGAAATAGGGCATTTGAAAAGGGCAAAAATTGATTTTTGGGTCAGAGACAGTAAAAAAACCTTATAGATCTAGACTCAATGGTTTAGAATTGTGAGCGTTAGAGAATCACCTTAGCTATAGTAGAGTGTCTACACCATGGGTTTTTTGTGGACCTAAAGGTTCATTTGATTTGAAAGGTAAGAGAGGGGGTATAGGGCTTCAACCATTTTTTAAAGGAAAAGATTTATATAAGGTGTCAATCTTATACTAAAGAAGTAAGGTGCACCTCAAAAACCTTTAGAAAAGGTTGTTATGACATCGGAAAACACTCTTACTGATCAACTCGACCTTAAGATATATCAATACGTATAAAAAAAAAAGAAGATATTTTTTAGTCCTAAAAATAGTGCATCTTATAACACATTATCTGAACTATTCATTTTCAAGATTTTGAAGTCTTTATAGACCTACACGATCCATACCCAATAAAAAAGCTTTAAATCTTATAATAGGGGGTAGAGACACAATTTCAAGCCACAGTAAGTTTTCGACACTAGAACTTCAGCTTCCAGCAGGGGTTGGAGGGGTTGGAGGTGCCCCTTACTTCGACTGTATAAGGTGGATGCCAAATATATATTGCACCATTTTCTAAATACTGAGAAAAAAAAATTTACAAAATTTCCCCAAAGAAAAATATAGGAAAAATGAGAATGAAACGAGGTAATATTGAAAATAGATCTATGCATAGTTTTTGTGGAAATTGATATATTGTTTTTTCTTTATGAATGACGCTATTTATGTTTTTGCCTTGTCCAATGGCGCATTTTTTAATTTCTTAAAATTTCACTTAAAAATTAAAGTCCATTTTAACGAGTATTAAGCTGCTATACAAATGCTTTTATACAAGAAATAGAGGCTATCATTTAGTGTAGGGACCATATTTTCTACTGTTAGGTGTTAATTGCCTATTAATAAGCTATTAACGTGAGTGTATTTTAACTCATGTCCTATTTCCTTTTCCTTTATAATGGCCTTTATTTATAATAGACATTTGTTAGACCTTGCTTGCGGATAGAAAAAGAAGAATCAACTGCTACGATTAATAGAAGGAGAGAAGAATAAATAAAAGGAAAAATTGTCAAAATATTTACGTGGGATGCACTATTAACATTTTACACATTTGTAACAATTTCAACCGATGATCATGTGTCCTCTTATGATTATTTTAAAATTAAATCAAACTATGTGCACAAAATATTAAATAATGCATCTCTTGTGGCTGTAATAAATTTACCTAAAGCAAAAAGAGATTCTACTCCTGTGGGAGTAGAATGTCTATTTACTCCCTCTAATAACATCTCCACCTAAAATAAATTTTAGGACTTCAAATTTTGGAAATGCAACTTCTTCAACCCATAAATTAACTTCAATAATTTTTTTCCCTAATTGTACCCTCGATGTACTTGAAAAAAACAGTATTGAGATTAAATGGAAACCATCCAAATTTTAGATGTTGAGATGTATTATTATAAAACTCAAATTTATATTTTTTTATAATAATTATCTAATAATTCTTAAATAATTCCCAAAATTTTATATTAAAAAAATTCTCCTAAGGGACAGAGGAGAATCACAACCGTTCAAAAAAAGGAGAAACCATTACAAACTAAAATAGGGTTGACGCAAGTAGGTCCAAGAGTAATGCATTTATGACGAATACTCAACTCAGGGGTATTATTATTATTTATATAAAATACAATGAAAGCGATAAAGGGTGCTTCCCAGAATGTCCCTGGGGTCTTTCATTTGACGACTAGCATGGTGGCTTAAGAGACCAAAAAAACAAAAGTTAAAAAAGGGCTTATGCTCTCAGGGCCTTTTCCCCCTTCATTAATCCCATTTTGGGGAGTAGTTTAGGAACTTTGAATCTGAATTCTTTAACCGAATAAAAGTTTTAGAAGTTCTTTTTATTTTCTAAACATGGCCATAAAATTGAACATCTCATTGTATCAAATTGTCATATAGTACATCTAAATTATTTTTACGAGAGTGTTGTTTGTATAAAGCTATCAATCTTAAACAATCAAAGTAAGGAGCTCCTCTAAATCTTGGTAAAAGATGTAGTTGTGGTATCTAAAAACTTTGGATTCATCGATTTTTACCTTTAGAGATACAAATTGAAGCTCCAAAAATAGTGTACATTGAGCAGATCTACAAACACTTTGAAATTTAAAAAATAGATGGTTCAGATAATGTGTTATAATATACTCTATTTTTAAGACCTAGAATACATTTTTTTTTATAGCCATAAACATAAATCTCGAAGTCCAAATGAATAATTTTAGGTTTTTTTTTATGTCTAAATAACATTTTGGGGTAGATTTTTGAGGTGACCTACATGGGAGGATTTTTGTACTACGAAAGTTTGAAAATCACCTTAGAATCACTTATTCTAAAAAGAAAATGAAATTTGAGGTTTCAAACACTTAGGTCTTAGCCTTTTGCAAATTGAACGGTTTCTATTCAACCTTTAGACATTATTTTTTGGGTGCGATGCGATTTCTACAAGGTTGCAACCTTAAGCAATCCAATTAAGGCGTACCTTAAAATTTTATCATAACATTTAATATTGTTGTAAAGAATTCTTAGTATTATCTTAAAATCTATTTTCATACCAAATTAGAAAATTTTAAATTTAAAAAATAGTTAAAATTAATTAGGTCTATAAATATATGAAAATCTTGAAAATGGACGGGCTAAATAATGTGTTGCAGGATGCACAATTTTTGGGACTCAAAAGCTTTTTTTTTTTCATATTCATATATCCTGATTAGAGTGTTTTTTCAACATTAAAACAATATTTTCAATAGATTTTTGACGTGCATATCTGATTCTACATTTTAAAGTTGCAACCTTATATAAACTTTTTTCTTATTTTTTTGCTTAGAGGGTATAATTATAACTTTTTTATTGAGTTTAATCGATGTGGTAAAGACGTAATATCAGCAAAATTTGACGTCTTAAAACTAGACCTAGGTGAGATTTGTTTTGAGGGAGTAAACAGATAGTATACTCCCAAGGGAGTAGAATAAATTTTGGTAGGGAGGAGGGCACGACCGATTCAGGAGAGAGAGAGAGGAGGAGAGAGAGAGGAGAGAAGGAGAGAGAGAGAGGAGAGAAGGAGAGAGAGAGAGAGAGAGAGAGAGGAGAGCCCAGTCAAAACTCCAAACCAAGAGAGAGTTTTCAATGGAGAAAAAAAGGGGGATTGAGAATGAAGAAATGTAGAGAGAGAAGAGAGAAGAAAAAAAAAAGAAGAAGAGAGTTTACGCGTCCGATTTTGGCGGGCGGGTCCACCCATTCCCCACCACTTACTCGTGGCCGGCTGCCGGCGTGTAAGCGCCGGGTGTTTGGGCTCCCCAGAAAAACACCAAAAAAAAAATAAAGAAGAAAAAATATTGAGAAAAAAAGGGCAAAAAAGGAGAAGAAAAAGATACGGGGAAATAGGAAAAAAAGAAAAAAGGGTAAGAATGGGATGGGGTCGGAGATGCGTATGGGAAGCGGCAGTTCGGACCATGGCGGAGGGGCTTTGAGAAAAGTCTGATTTTTTTTCCTTTTTTTTTTTTCATTGGGGCGAGAGAAGAACAGACGAAGAAAGAAAGAAGAACAACAAGCTCTTTGCTTCGGCTGCTACCGTCTCTTCTCAGCTTCTCTCCGCCCTGCTAAAAAAAACCCTAATTTCACCCTCTTGGCAAACTCTTATCTCGTTTCTTGAGGTTCTTCTTCTCTCCCTCTTGCCAACTCTTATCTCGTTTTCGGGTCATTTTCTTTTTGAAAATTGAATTTCGTCATCATTTGATTTCTTTTGGAAACTGAAGTTGTTGTCTTGATGAAATGATTGAGTTTTGGTGTATATTATCGAACTATTTTCTTTGATCTTCTGCGAGATTGATGGCCAATTATGTATCTTTGAATTTATTCGGTTATTATCAAGTGTCGATGTTAATATCTCTGTTTGTGAGATTGTGTGGGATCGATGGAGCTCTTATGAATTCAATTATTTTGTGTGTGTTATGTGAATTTTGTCCGGAATTCTGTCTATTTTATAAAATCTGGTGGGATTGATTGCTGAATGAGAAGCTCTGATCCGTTCAGTTATTTAAACATGCATGGCTTGCTTTGTAATTTTCTCTTACTTTTTTATTGATGTTGGATTGATTACCGACTTAATAGTTTCTCTTAAACGATCGGCCGTGATTTTTGTTTGTTCTATTGAATGAATTGGTGGTAGATTACTTATAGAGCTAAAAGTTTTATACGGCATTAGTAGGTTTGTTGAGCTCTTAGGTGGGTGCTTTATCTCACCGTTGAGTTTTTAGGTGTGCACTTTGTGCTGTCGTTATTATTTTTGATATTTATCTAATGGAATTGCTTGCAGAGGAGGTCACCTTTGTGATCTGGATCTACTTTTATCTTACTTTTGATAAAAAGAAGGTCCCATCAAAGTTGGTCATTTTTACATGGACTCGGTGATTGTGTCATTCTCCTTTGATGTATGTTAAGTGATGCCTATTGAATCCTTGGTTTAACCTCCTAATAATGTGTTGCTGTTCACATTTGAAGGAATCTAATTCTTGAATCATCTATTTTTCAGAAATATTTATTAACTGGCACATCAATTTGTTCATGTGCAACAATCTTAGATTGTATACCTGACAAGCAATTGTCTTGATATGTCATTATCTGGTTCTGCTCTCTAATTCATAATTCTTCACCTGATTACCCCTTCTCTTCTTCATTTTTCAGGACAGTTACAATTGATCTAAAGTTATATGTAAACAAACAAGATAGCATATTGAGTTTCTATTTCCTGGCTGCCTTCTTGGGAGATCGTGCACTTCAGAAATCCTCAAGTGATTTGTAAGATAGTAAACAGTTGAGGTAAATTATGTGCTGGCCTCCTGATGCTCAGGAATGGGTTTGATTGAAAATATTGGAGTCAAATCATATTGGACAGACGCATCTTTACCATGCTTGATGGTGAGAAGTTATTTATTCTGGGTTGTAAACTCGACATTTTGAAAGATTCTTGTTCGCGTAAATCTGGCAATCTGGAAGCTGGTAGAAAGTCCCACTGGCCATATAATTTTACCTCTCGAGAGATGAGGGGTAGATGGAACCTCTTTAGGTTCCTATTGCAGAAGGTCATATGGGTTGTTCTAATCTTCCATCTAAAAATTGATCAGTGCTGGTCTCTCAATCTTGAAGGTATGAACTCTATTATCCTTTCCCTGACTTGATTTATGGTTTCTTATGAGCTCCACTCCCAAGCACTGGGTTCTTATGATATTGATATTCTTTTAGTTTTATCTCTGCTTTTCTCTAGTCTCCTCTAGAAACATTCCAGTTTTTTCCAAGGTTTTTGACTGGATATGATATTGAACCTCACAGTTTTTTGCAATTCCAGGCTTGGCGTTGTTGGACTTCTGTTCAAAAGTGGAAACAGATCCCTTTGGTGCCTTATCTAACTGGAACCCGGCTGACAATGACCCTTGTGCATGGTCTGGAGTTCATTGCTTGGATGGGAGTGTAAAGAAGCTGTAAGTAATGCATTTTACGCACATTTCTTCTTCTTATTCGACTTTTTAATGTTATTATTATCATCGTCATTACTGTTATTTTTTAGCAACTGCTGCTGGGGCTTTTCTCCGAGTCTCTTGATATTTGGCCTATCTGTATATTCAACTATTTATTGTTACACCTATCATTTGTCTTGCGTGTTACTCTTATTAGACAAATGGGTATGCATTCTCTTGTTAACTAGTAGCAGTTTCTTATTAGAAAAAAACAATATCTATTCTTAGTTGCAGATCTAAAAGAAAAAGAGAAAAAAAAAGAGAAGATAAAGAGCCTGGGTTAGCTTGTTTGGGCTTTTTGGAACAAACTTCAAGGGTTTGAACCCTTGACCTCCCTCAACCAAACCAATATGCCTATCTTTGCATGTTCCTCGTGAAGGTGAAGGAGTTATGTATATTGAGGAAAATTCTGTGCGGAGGTCATATGAGAGTCTGAACTTGGGACGTAATAAGCGGGAGTTCGGAAACTACCCCTAATAATGTGGAACCTTTTAGTGCAAGGCAATGCCTTGAAGTACAATAGGTGAGCATGATGCGAAACACCACCTCCATGGAAACTTGAGTATTTTTAAGGAGTTGCAGAAGATATGTGAGTCACTTGATATCACTTTCTTGCAAATTGGTGATTGGTTTTCCCAAGTTTCTAAACATTATTGTGATTTACAGCACATTTTGGATGAAGTGGTGTTGTGATGGATATTTGGTGTCATTTATGAAGGATGTGTTATTGTTTAGAATCATGATTCTCCTTGTGAGTGCATCTGTCTTAACGATGTCCCTCTCGGTTCATGATTAGTTGCTTCTGCATTCTTACATGTTTATTCCCTCTCCCTGCCTCTAAGATTCTGATCCTTTAGGCACCAGGAATTTTATGGTTCTTCTCCAAAAGTTGATTAGGTCATTTCTGAATATGTCAAGCATGCCTGTAATGTCTGTGCTACCTCTGTGCATTCTATAACAAGCCAAGTATTCAGGACACTTCAGGATGCTTTATGGACTTCCAGCAAAGAACTCAGTCAAGTGAAGCTTCATCGTGGTCTGTGTTGTTTTGTTTGTCGACTTAGAATTGTATAGTTTCTTCCTTGGGATGATCGGGAGAGTTTGTCTTGGAGAAATTGAATACCTGATGAGTAGTTGGATGCTTTTGCTCCCAAAGTTGGTTCTACTACAATTGTTTAATCATTATTTTGCTTAGAGTAACTCATTATGCAACTTCTTAATGCATCATCTGTTAGTAATAATGTGCTTCCCTCTACTATTCTTGCAGGGAACTAAAAGGCCTTTCTTTAGGAGGGACACTGTCATCTGAGCTTGGAAAGCTCAATCAGTTGACAACTCTGTAAGCATTATTTGTCCTGTTGGAAGGATGCATAAAGTACATTATATGAACATGCATAAATATATGAGCACATGCATGAATGTGTACATAAACAGTTGTGATGTGGTTGTGCATGCATGCAATTGTGTGCATTTCTCTGTTCTGGTCTGTGTTTGTTTGTGTCATTGCCCTCATGCTTGCGCGCATCAAATGTTTTTTTCTCCCTTCAAAGTTTAGAGGCTTATTTTTTTTTTGGTTGGTTATGTCCAGTGTGTTATCGAAAAACCATTTCTTTGGTGCCATCCCCATGGAGATCGGGGAATTGACAAAGCTGGAGATATTGGACCTGAGCGATAATTGCTTGAGTGGATGGATACCAAAAGAAGTCGGCAATATATCACCACTTAAGATGCTGTGAGTAGATGCTATGTTACTGTAGATTTTCAAAGTGGTTAATGCACAAGTTCTAAATTCCCAATTTCCTGAATATTTTCATGTTCTTAATCTGGATTTCTTTTTGTTTACCTTTTTGGCATGATAGACGTCTTAGCCACAACAGGTTCCAGGGTGGCCTACCTCAAGAGATTGGAAAGCTCAAGTTACTGTCTGTGCTGCTGGTTGACCAAAATCTTGCATCGGGTGCTTCTCCAGAAACATTCGCCTGGAGCAGAAAACTCGGTCTGAGGTAATGGCTTATCTGGTCATTTGATTTAATTATGCACTCATTAAAAACTTTATGCAAGATGGATATTATGTGGTTGTACTCGTAAGGAATGAATGCTGTATGTTCATGCGTTTATATTAGATATGATGTTTTTTTCCCTTTAGATGGTTAACATGCAACTATAAGATGGAGTACTTCTAGATGTCCAATATGTGCAGACTTGGAACATGAATTTCCTAATATCAATCTATAATTTAATGGTCATGTATCCAAGTGAAAAAACTGAAGTAAATAATGTAATCCTGGTGTTGGAAATACGAGGATCTATCTTACTGCTTGGGCATTTCTCTTGATATCATTCTTACAATATGCACGATTCACTCTACTTGCATTATTATGTGGGAAATATGTTTCTCTCGACAAAAGAAGGATGTTATTTTTTTCACCTATTAGAGATTCAAGAAGGAAACTTTTAAAATTTTTGAGATGCCTCTACTGTTCAAAGCAAATCCTAGATCTTTTAGTTCTATTTCAATCTTCGTAAAATGGTTGTGCACTTGTTCTTCTGTTACTTTTTCTTTTTTACAATACCTGAGCTGAGTTATTCATCAAATGAAGTCTTTGACTTCCTGATATTTTACATAACATTGTTTTTTAGCAGGGGTGGTTCAATTTATAATGATGAGAAGAGTGATGGCAACTTATCTGGTGAGAGTATATGCCATTTACGTGTTCTACAGTTCTTCAGATTGACTCCTATGAAGTTTTCACTAAGTTTAAATATTACCATTATCAAAAACAAGAAAAGAAAAAAGAAGGGAAAAAAGTCTTATGAAACTCTTCCATCTCCAGCAGGTTCAGCTGTGCCATACTTAACACAAGGGATAAAGCTAGTTGTGGAATCTGTTCGCCGCAAACTACTCCAGGAATCTAGTAATCTTCCTGCTGTCCCTATTGGTGGTGTACCTGAACCCACAAGCGTCCCCTCTACAGGTAGCGGTTCATTTCCTGCAGTCCCTAGCAACAGTGAGACTAGTGGAGTATCTCCTGTACATTCTCCATCTCCATCTCCTTCTCCTGCAAATGTCCCTTCTAGTGATCCATTGGCCAAGAATCCCTCTTCTCCAAAATCTCCTGTGTTTGCTGAGAAGCCATCTAATTCATCGGACAATCATTCAACTTCTTCAACTAAAAACTCCTCCAAAATGTGGGTTTATGTTGTTGTTCTCCCTGTTGTTTCAGTCATTGCAATCGCCTGTGTAGCCATTCTTTGTGTGTGCCGTAATCGTGGGGCATCGACCATTGGGCCTTGGAAAACTGGTCTCAGTGGGCAGTTGCAGAAAGCATTTGTAACAGGTATGATATGAATTATGTTTTTGTGAGCTGTGAAAGAATAATTTGTGATTGGTTTGAGTTGGGGTGACTGTACTGAGATTAACTTTTGTGTTTCTCGGTGTACTATTTATTTGCAGGGGTGCCTGAGCTCAATCGTTCAGAACTTGAAGCAGCTTGTGAGGATTTCAGCAATATTATTGGTTCATTGCCAGATTGTACGGTGTTTAAGGGGACATTGTCGAGTGGAGTTGAGATAGCAGTTGCTTCTACTACTGTACCATCTGCCAAAGAATGGTCAAATCGTGCTGAGATCCATTTCAGGAAAAAGGTCATTATTCCCTTCTCTCTCTCTCGCTCTCTCTCTCTCTCAGCAATTTCTTTTGTGGGAGAAATGATTCTGTGAATACTTTCTTTGACACTTTGTCCACTTCCTTATCTATAGATTGACACACTGTCACGACTGAACCACAAGAACTATGTGAATCTCATTGGCTACTGTGAGGAGGATGATCCTTTTGTGAGAATGATGGTTTTTGAGTATGCGCCCAATGGAACCCTTTATGAGCATCTGCATGGTGAGAAAACATTCGTTGTCAAAATTCCTCTCCTCTCATTCTATAACAATGAAGATGTAGAAAGCTTGGAGCCTAAATTTTTTTACGAATTTTATATGACATTTCATTTCAGTTAAAGAAGTTGAACATTTGGACTGGACTGCAAGAGTGCGGATTATCATGGGCATGGCGTACTGCCTTCAGTATATGCACCATGAGCTAAACCCTCCTGTGGCACATCCTAACTTGAACTCTAATGCAATCTATTTAACGGACGACTTTGCTGCCAAGGTATATGAATGTGTTTTCCTTTTAGTCAATGATTTCAGGCCCGAAAGTTTTTCTTCGATTTCCTTGCATGCTGTATACTTGTGATCTTTCTCTGAGACATTATTTGGGATGGTATTATCCAGTTGGCAGATTTTAGCTTCTGGAAAGACTTTGTGTCAAGGGGGAAGTCCACTGGCGATGATGACAGCGACAATTCTGATTTTCCTTTTGCTGACCCTGATAGCAATGTCTATAGCTTTGGCATACTTTTACTTGAAATCATCTCTGGGAAGCTTCCTTATTCCAAGGAACAGGGACTGCTTGTCAACTTGGTAATGTATCTTATTTTCAGTTTTTCCCTTACTTCTACCTGTTCTTCTATGAAGTTCATGGACAATCAGTGTCTCTTTGATGATTTGCGTGTTGGATTTTTTGGGATTAGGATGTTCTATTAAAACAAATATGTTGATATTTTTAAAAAAAGAAGTCTGATACAAGTTCTTATATGCTCCTATGTGTGTACATTGTCTGCTATATCCCAGATATTAAACACTCAGGTAGGAATTACTACTTCCTCTGCCTAACCAGATTGTTAATATGAGAGAGAGAGAGAGAGAGAGAGAGGAGGCTCAGTGATGACTAATTACTTAAGTTAATCGACTAACTCCTCCTAGTGACGTCGTCGTCGTCGTCGTTGTTATAGTTAATAGTCGGTCCGTTCTACT